TAAAAACAACTTTTGAGTAGGTCTATGTTAACTCAGTCAAATCTATCTTGATTAAGAAATGGTTGACTATGAGATGATTTTAAGGACAGTGCTTTGCAAATAGTGTTCTCACTTGAAAAGATGTGACTACCATTGCTCGACCATGTTATCCTGTGTTGGTGGGTATATAAGGGTTGTTATTGGGTTCATATGCATCACTTTCTAAATGCAGTGAAATAGGCAGGCTGTGGACAGAGCATATCTCAATGCAGGCACTAGCTATGTACTTACCCATTCTTCCCTAAACTCCATGATAAGTCCTTGAGGACAGAAGCAATATCCTTATCTTTCATTTTTCTTTGACACTTTTGCAGAGTTTAGGATAAACAGTAGGTGTTTAATAAAACCAACTTAAAGATTTGGGTTGACTTTCTGTGACTGATGGAGGGAACCAGAGCCCATTTCCTTTAGATTGCTCACCTTGTCCAATTGTCTTTGTAGTGATAAAGTAGTAAAGTGACCAATAAATTGTGAGTGACTTGGGGGATCTATTAAAACTATCTCCTAAGGGAAGTGTTGATTCAATAGTATCAACATCGTGTATTGGAACTAAATTTAAAATTGCACCCCCCCACTCGCCCCGAAAGAATAATTAAAGCACGCAAACCAAATGTCTAAGTACAAAGATTGTGAAGTTCCATAGGATGTGTATGTTAAAGAATAGATTGACGTACGTTAATTCGTGGCTTTCTCTGAAATTTGTATCTATTTACATAATCCCAAATTGCATTCCTAGAAAATACTTTGTATTTTTAGCGGTAAAGAATTATGGCATTTTCCAGGATGCTTTTATTTAACAGGAGGAAATTCTTTTATAATAAGGATTCAAAAATGTAGAATACATCCCTACTTCCCTGATCAGTGATGTATGAAATTAAGATTTGAAAAGAAAACCTTGCTTACAAAATGGTTTGATCATCCACTGTGTTCTGCAGTAGATGATCAGATCTGTTTGCATCAAATAAGTCTTAATCCTTTGTGGTAAAATAATTAGACAAGTCAGGAAATTACATCTATATAGGATTGAAGTAGAAAATGCTGTCAGGATGACTGGATAGGAATGTTAGGGAAGAAACTGTCCTGCACAGATGGCTGTAGGCGGTAGCTTTTTTGTGCGATAACCCAGCAGATTGTTGATGAGTCAAGTTGATGAGAAACAATTTGTAGAAAGTGATTGCCCTGACTCCTAGTGGGGAGTCGTGGGGTGGAGTCTATTCAAAACTCTTCTTATTTTCGACGTGGATGTAACTTCTTAGGGCTTCAGTTTACTTATCTGTATAAGAAAAGGTGTAGAGTCAATGATAAGGATCTCATCTGGATGTCAGTACTATGATTCTGTTGTTATTGGTTGTGGCATTGGGTTTTAAAAATTTGTAGTGATATGATTTTAAACATACAAGTTCAGATATTCCCTATTATTTCTATTCTATTTTTCTTTTCTTTTTTTGATTGGGGGCAGGGGTGGGTACCAGGGATTTAACTCAGGGGCACTCAACCACCGAGCCACATCCCCAGCCCTTTTTTGTATTTTATTTAGAGACAGGGTCTCACTGAGTTGCTTAGTGCCTTGCTGCTGCTAAGGCTGGCTTTGAACTCACAATCCTTCTGCCTCAGCTTCCCAAACAGCTGGGATTACAGGCGTGTGCCGCACTGTACGTCTATTTTTCTATAATTGAAAAATTAGAGAAAATAACATTTTAAAAATATTTTTGTTTAGTTGTAGATGGAGAAATACTTTTATTTATTTATTTATATGTGGTGCTGAGGATTGAATCCAGGGCTCCTCATGTGTTAGGCAAGCGCTCTACTACTGATACACAACCTCAGCCTGAGAAAATAATTTTGAAAACAAATAACATTCATTTTAGAAAAAGTTTAGCTGTATTGTTTTAGCATTAAATATCATTCATAAACGCTCATTGTTTTTGTTGATGTCTTGTATATTTTCTAAATTCTTTAAATATGAATAAGTCTGCATATTAAATATATTATCTTGACCCAGAAAAATATATTTGAGGCTTAGCCACAAAATACAACATGTGGAAGTCTTTTCTGTAATATGCAGTATGTAGTATATTATTCTGTTATTTTTTGTGGTTTCTGCATTGTGAAAAATAGTGGTAAATACATTGTGGCTTCTTAGAGATTTGGTACAGCATATATCAAGAATTGGCTCAATAAAGAAATGAATGTGCTATATTACTTTACACATTTGAGGAAACACAATGAAATGTGTAGGCTTGCTTAACTTTAATTAAGATTTTTTTTGGGGGGGCGGGGAAGTGAAGCAGAAATAAAGAAAGGTATAGAAGAAACTAACCAATCTTCCTTAGAGAGTAGTTTGCTTTGATAATCATCACCATGCATAAATATACTTTAGCAAAGGGAAATCTGAAATCCTCTTTGCTTTTTAAATTTCCGGTGACTTCATTTTAGGTTAGTGGTTGTTGCCTTTATTTGAAGCATAGTTTTCATTTTTAATTAAACTACCATGTATATAATAGGTGATTCCATTAAAGAAATATAAAGCTGAGATTAAAATAACTGTAGGGGAAAGGAAGAATCTAAGAGCATCATGTAGGCTTAGGATGGATTGGCTGTATGGACATTTTAGAAGTTGTGCCACTGTGTGTGAGACTCCGAGACATGTGTCAACAGTCATGCTGGGTTATGGATGAGTGACACATTTTAAAGTTGAATTTTAGATGCTGAAGTTGGTCTTACTTACACCAAAACCCCAACCTGTTTGTTTAATCTCAATTTTTTTGCTTTTGCATTCAGAACTGAGTGGAGTCAGCTTCTTTGCTGAGATTTTATTTCAAAATATAAAACAAGCAGAAAGTCCCTTAATGGAGCTACCTTCTCAAAATTAGTGTGAGCAAACTACATTTTACACATTCAGGTTTAGTGAGACAAGTGATTGATCAAAGTGCTTTTCAAAAATGTATTTGGTTCACTACCAGCCTTTTTTGAAAGAATTATTCATGTTTGGTAGTTTTTGAATAGAAAATGAAATTTCTGTTCAGCCAAACAATATTAGACTTTAAATTTTTTTTTTTTTTTTTTTAGTTATACATGGACACAATATCTTTGTTTAGTTATTTTTATGTGGTGCTGAGGATCAAACCTAGTGCCTCACGTGTGAGAGGCAAGTGCTCTGCCACTGGGCCACAACCCCAGCCCCTAGACTTTTAAAAAAATCCTAATTTGTTATATATGACAGCTGAATGCATTCCAACTCACATTACACATATAGAGCACAATTTTTCATGTCTCTGGCTTTACACAAAGTAGAGTCACACCATTCGTGTCTTCATACATGTACTTAAGGTAATGATGTCCCATCTCATTCCACCGTCTTTCCTGCCCCCATGCCCTCTTCCTTTCCCTCCATCCCCTTTGCCCTATCTAAAGTTTCTCCATTCCTCCCATGATTCCGCCCCCCCCACCCCAATCCCCATTGTGGATCAGAATCCTCATATCAGAGAAAACATTCAGCATTTGTTTTTTGGGGGATTGGCTAACTTCACTTAGCATAATATTCTCCAACTCCATCCATTTACCTGTAAGTGCTGTGATTTTATTCTCTTTTAATGTTGAGTAATATTCCATTGTGTATATACACCACAGTTTTTTTATCCATTCATCTACTGAAGGGCATCTAGGTTGGTTCCACAACTTTGCTATTTTGAATTGTGCTGCTATAAACATTAGCTGTGTCTCTGTTGTACACTGATTTTAAGTCCTTCGGGTATAACAAAGGAGTGAGACAGGTGGGTCAAATGGTGGTTTCCTTCCAATTTTTCCAAGGAATCTTCATACTGCACCAATTTGCAGTACTACCAGGAATATATGAATGTGCCTTTCCCCCCCATATCTTCACCAAAACTTGTTGGTTGTTTGTATTCTTAATAGCTGCCATTCTGACTGGAGTAAGATAAAATCTTAGAGAAGTTTTGATTTGCATTTCTCTAATTGCTAAATATGTTGATTAGGCCCCAACTTCCTTAATAAGACTCCTATACCACAAGAAATAAAATCAAGAATCAATAAATGGGATGGATTCAAACTAAAAAGCTTCTTCTCAGCAAAAGACACCATTGGTGAGGTGAATAGAGAGCCTACAGAATGGGAGCAAATTTTTACCACACTCATGGGAGCAAATTTTACATGCACATCAGAGCACTAATCTCCAGGATATATAAAGAACTCAAAAATATCATGATTTGATGAGAAGCTATTGAAAACTCAAAAAACCAAATAACTCAATCAATAAATGGGCCAAGGAACTGAACAGATACTTAGCAGAAGAGGACATACAGTCAATCAACAAATATACAATATTAGACTTTTGATAGAGATTTCTCCCTTCTCCTCCTCCTCCTCCTCTTCTTTAAATAATTTAAAGTTTGTATTAAAGCTCTCAATGTTATCATCTTTTCTACATGCACCATGTTAATTTGTCAATCTAATATCACAGTGACACTTTAAAGTCACTAATAAATGTCTAGGAGTAATTCCCAAAGCAGGGACACCTGAAAGCAGTAGTTTGTGCAATTATAATTAGGACAAATAATTGGGGGCCTAGGTCTAAGCTAAGTGTCACCCCCTCCCTTGTTAATAGCAGAGATTGCCTATGCATACCTCGTGTGGCCTGCTGATAGGAGGCTGGGATTGTTACTCAATCTCACATACAGTTTGATTTGTTATTACTGTGAGAGGGGTTGTCTTTCATTGTCTGTAGGTATCTGGCATGAAAATCTCATCACCAGTCCTCAGAAACATGTGGGCTTCACAGTCTATGGAAATAGCTTTGTGATGATGGGTTTGTTGTTGGTGTTCTTAACCCGCAGTCCTATGTAAGTGTGGGTTAATGAAGAAAATAATATCCGTTTTTTACAGTAAACGTGCCTATGCTAAGAAAGAAACCTATCGGTTTGTGTTTCTGTTTTTATTTGTAGATATAATACTTTGCCCAGCAGAAGAACTCTGAAGAATTCAAGATTAGTGAGTAAGAAAGATGACGTTCATGTCTGCATCATGTGTTTACGTGCCATCATGAATTACCAGGTATGCTTGTGCTTCTGGGCCCTGAAAGAAGTCGGAATTCATCAGACTTGGGTCTTGTTCTCTTTGGCTTCTCTGTGTTCTTTCTATCTGAAGTAAATATCATGATTTGATGAGAAGCTATTAAAAAAGAGAGGTCTGGTTCATTCTAATGCTCCAGATTTAACTTATTGCTGTGATATTTTAATTAGTATTTATAATTTGTATTTTTTTTCCTCTTTTTTTTTTTTTTGGTACCAGGGATTAAACCTAGGGACATTTAACCATGGAGCCACATCCCCAGCCCCTTTTATATTTTAATTAGAGACAGGGTTTCATTAAGTTGCTTAGGGCCTCTAAGTTGCTGAAGCTGGCTTTGAACTCTCAATCCTTCCTGCCTCAGCCTTCTGAGCTTCTGGGATTACAGGTGTGTGCCACTGAGCCTGGCCTATAATTTTTAGTTATTTAAAGGAAAGGTGATTTTCTTCTATAGTGGTCGAGTTGCCTAGATATCTTGGTAAATACTTGTAATCACGGAGCACAGAGTAAACCACTGGCTGTAGACAATAATGGAAGAGCACCTGCCACTATGAGTGGGTCAGTGTTTCCCAAAGGCTGGAAAGTGAACAAGAAGTTACAAGGAGTTGGACTTAGTGGTTCCTAATCTTTATACGAAGCACCTGGTGGATCCTTGTTAGAAGTACAGATTCCCCTTCAGGTGGTAGTGAAACAGGTTGAGGCTGCTTAGAAGCAGTGAAGCCTGTGGTTTGAGTTAATCCTAACAGTACAGAGGAAGGTAGAGCCTGGAGGACCCGAGGTGAACTGACAGGGTTACATGTGTAGGTAAGCAAACCAAGGGTATGCATTAGAAACAGTAGGGTTCAAATATAAAAAGAAATTTTATTTGTATTGATATGGATGACACAGGTAAGTTCAATTGGAAATAGAAAAAAATACACAACTAGAGGATCCATGTTAGTGTTCAAACCCAACATAAGGTTGCTGAATTGAATTTAAGAAGGGAAACATTCATTTGTTCCTTCTCTAAATCAGTAGATATCTTTTACACACACACACACACACACACACACACACACACACACAAACATTCTCATTAATTATACAGGACAGTAAAATGCATTTTGATACATCATACATAAATGGAATATAACTTCTCATTTGTCTGGTTGTACATAATGTAGAGTTACACAGGTTATGTAATCATATATGCACATAGGGCAATAATGTCCAATTCATTGTACAATTATTCCTATCCCCATGTCCCTTCCTTTCCCTTCACTCCCCTCTGTCTCATCCAAATTACCAATGCTCCCCTCCCCCTTTATTGTGAATTAGCATCCGCATATTGAGAAAACATTCCGTCATTGGTTCTTTGGAATTGGCTTATTTCATTTAGCATAATATTCTCTAGTTCCATCCATTTACTGGCAAATGTCATAATATTATTCTTCTTTAAGGTTGAGTAATATTCCATTGTGTATATATACCACATTTTCTTTGTCATTCATCTATTGAAGGCCATCTAGATTGGTTCCATAGTTTAGCTATTATGAATTGTGCTGCTATAAACATTAATGTAGCTGTATCACTGTAGTATGCTGACTTTAAGTTCTTGGGGTATAAACTTAGGAGTGGGATGCCTGCATCAAATGGTGGTTCCATTTCAAGTTTGATAGCTTTTGTATTTTGTCAGACAGAGCCTCTGTTCTAGTCACTGAGAATACAGCATTAAGTGAATTAGTGGCCCAGGGAACTAACTTTCTTTAAGAGAGAGTGAGCAGATAACAAAATAAATTGATAAATTATATGGTGTTTCATATAATAATGATGATAAAGTGAAATGAAGGCTGAATCATGGTTTTACAAAGGTAAGCTTTTAAACTTATGAACCCAAGTAAATCTCAAAGCACCCTTATCATTAATACTATCATTGATAGTGTTATTCTCCCCATTTTACTTACAAGGAAACTGAAACACAGAAGTTAAGTAATTTTCCCAAAATCATATAGCAAATAAGTGGCAAGGTCAGGCTTTGAACTCAGAGAACCATTACTAAGCATTGCAAAAAACAATCAGGAAATAGGAAGTGCTTAAGATGTATATGCATGTTTAAATAAGCTAGCTAGGAAAGTGTCACTGAGGAGATAACATTTAATCAGAACTTGAATTAGGCAACAAAGGGAAGGTTAGAATAAATCTGGTTTTCCCAAGGTGCAGAATGGAGATCAGGTTGGCTGGATCAGAATGAGGAACGAGAAGAGTAGAAGGTAAAGACAGAAGTATCAGAGAACTGCTTATGTAGGACTTCATAGGTCAGGGAAAGGACACTGGTCTTGTTGAAAGGGAAAAGCTAGTAAATATGATGCTTGCATTTAATATGATGAGTTTGGCTGCTGTGCTTAGAATTGACCTTGGAGGGCAAAGGCAAGGGGGTGTAAACCATTTAGGAGGCTATTGGCAGTAATTTTGGTGAGCATTGATGGTGTATGACTCAGGATTATAGGAGCAGAGTTGAGAGAGATGGTCAGATTCTGGTTTTATTTTGATGGTAAAGGCAGTGGCATTAAGTATGTGGTGAGAGAGTAGGCGAGGAGAGGAGGTGGTACTAAGGCTTTCATCCTGGGTACCTATAAGATTGGGTTGTCATTCACTAAGAAGGAGAAGGCTACAGGATGACAAAATTGGAGGAAGATCATTTGGAGTTCCATTTGGTAGATTTTAACTTTGAGATATGCATTAGTCCTCCAAATAGTGATTTAAGTGTAGCTGAGTATGTTAGTTTAGATTCCAAGACAGAGGTCTGGGCTGGAGATATAAATTTTTTTTTAAATATTCCTAGTTGTCAATGGATTTTTAAATTTTATTTATTTATATGTGGTGCTAAGAATCATATCCAGTGCCTCACACGTGCTAGGCAAGTGCTCCTCCACTGAGCTACAAATTTGAGACTAGTTAGCACATAGAGCATTTAGGAAACTAGGAGTATGAATGAAATCTGTGGGGCCAACAGAGTAGTAAAGAGGTCCAAAATATGAACCGTGGGACACTCCATTTAAATGTTTAAGAGATGAGGAAAAACTAGTTCACCGTAGAAGTAGCCAGGAAGGTAGAGCTATCTGAAGGCCATGTTTCAAGGAGAAAGGAATGCTCCACTTTGTCTAATGCTCCCAAGCTGAGTGTGGTGGCTCATGTCTATAATACAGTGACTTGGGAGGGTGAGGCAGGAGAATCCCAAGTTCCAGGCCAGCCTGGCAACTTGGTGAAACGCTGTTTACCAATTAAAAAACAAAAGAGACTGGGACTGGGGATATAGCTCAGTGGTAGAATGCTTGCCTAGCATGTGCCAGGTTCCGGGTTTGGTATCCCTATTACTGAAAGAAGAAAAATGTTGCTGCTGAATCATGTAAGATGAGTGAGGCCACTGACTAACAAAATGTCGGTCATTGGTGATATTGGCAAGAATAGATTCAGAGGTATGTTGGTCAGCTTTTCATCACTGTGACCAAAAGAGCAGACAAGAACAACTTAGAGGGTAGAGATGTTTATTTTGGGCTCATGGTTTAATAGATTCAGTTCATGATTGGCCAACTCCACTACTTTGGGCTTGAGGTGAGAAAGAACATCTGGTGGAAGGGTGTGACACAGGAAGGCTGCTCAGCTCATGGCAGCCAGGAAGCCAAGAGAGCACAAGGAGCCACGAACAAGTACATCATCCCCAAGGACACCCCCCCTCCCTCCAGTGACCTGCTTCTTCGAGCCAAGTCCCATGTCTACACTTACACAGTAATCCATTCAAATTACTAATCCGACAAATAGATGAATCCATGATTGTGTTGCAACTGCCATAATCTCACTGTTTTGTTTAACATTCCTGTATAGTCTACTGTGAGCTTTTCTGGGAACCACCTCACATCCAAACTGTAACAAGTGGGCTGTGGAGTAAAATGCCTGGTGGGAGTGGAGAGAGGAATCAGAGATCCTGAGTATTTGGGGGGAATTTTGTTGTAAGGATAACAGAAACGAGAGGAGGCAGCTAGACTCATTGTGGTATCAAAGAGGGTTTTGTTGCAGTCGTTTTAAGATAAGAGCATTTTTCATGATGTTTTTATGTTCATGATAATGAATTAGTAGACAGGGAAAGGTGATGGTGAGTGGAGGAATTTCTGTAGCATATATTTTTGAGGAGGTGAGAGGGAATGAAATCAAGGACTTAAGTGCAGGGATTAGCCTCAAATGAAAGCATGGAAGAGTTCATTTGTGGAAAGAGGTGAGGAGGTTAACCATAGATCTTTGTGTAGGGGTGATATGGTTGGAGCTTTTGGAAGGATTTTCTGATTGCATACATTTTTCTCAGTGTAAGAGGAAATAGTTCAAAAGCTGACAGTAAATTTAGGAGAGAGAAGGTAATTCCTCAATTTAGTAGAATCAAATTTCTTAAGCTTGTTCTTTTTTTTTTTTTTTATTCATATTTTTTCATTTATTCATTTTAGAGATATTCTGTAATCTTAGGTTCATTTGGAAATTTTATAAATTTAAAATATTTCATGACAACTTTGACATTTTAACTATATTCCTGCACAATTAGTATTTTAATGACCATATGTATTTATAATGTAGAGTACAAATACAATTACATTTTCTTCATTTATTTCATGTTTTCCAGAAAATAATGTTCTTTTGAGAAACAGAACCAATAGGATATGTTTGTATATACGTGTATATATGTACACACACACACACACACAGAATGATTTACTTTAAGGAATGATGGAAACTGTCAAGTTCAAAATCTGCAGGCCAGAAAAGTGTTATAGTTCAAGTTCAAAAACGCAGTCTATCCACAGATTTCTCTCAGGGGAGGTCAGCGATTTTCTTAAGGTCTTAAAATAAGTGGATGAGGACCACTTACATAATGAAGGCCCATCTACTTTCTTGGGGTGTACTGATTTAAATATTAATCCCATCCAAAAACAAAATACCTTCAAAGAAATATCTAGAATCATGTTTGATCAAGTATCTGGGTACCACAGCCTACTCAGGTTGACATGTAAAATTGATCATTATAGCAAGCTACTTAATATGAGCTTTCACTTATTGTTATACTTTACTAAAAGTGAAATTGAGATACAAATGCAGATTTTTAAGTAAAATTTCCTTAAAATAGGAAGCTATTTTAGGACTTAAGCTTGTTCTTTGTGTAGAAGGGTGATATAACATACCTCAGAGAAAGACAGGTTTTCTAGGCCCTTGGTTCTGGTAGCCATTGCCCAGAGAAGGGACTTGATGGAGCGATTCCTAACTGCTGAGTGAAGTCACCCTGGAAGCTTAAAAATTTTTAGATTCCAGGGCTCTGTTATTGAGATTCAGACCAAATTAACCTGGGTGGATCTTGGGGAATCAATCAGTGCTTTGTTTTGTCTTTCAAAGGATTGAATGAGGAGGCTGAGTTGAGAATCCCTTGGATAGGGCTTTTTTACTAATTTTTTTGGGGTGGGGGGACACTGGGGATTGAACTCAGGAGACTTGGTCACTGAGCCACATCCCCAGCCCTTTTTTGTATTTTATTTAGAGACAGGGTCTCACTGAGTTGCTTAGTCCTCGCTTTTGTTAAGGCTGGCTTTGAACTTGCGATCCTCCCATCTTGGCCTCCCTAGCCACTGGGATTACAGGCCATGTGCCACTGTGCCTGGTCTTTTCACTATTTTAATAAAAAAAAAAAATGTGTAACTTATGTATATATGGGAAGATAAGCCTTTGATGATGGCATCCCTGATATTTTCAATACAGAAATATGTTTTGACAATAATGTGCATTTATGATGACCTCATTTATGATAGTGTATCATTGTTACATGAGATAGAACCTTCAGATTTTTTGTTTTTAATTAATATTGACTGTCTCCTAACCTATTTCCTAATGCTTTTTTGTTTTTTTCCTCCCACATTTCAGTATGGTTTCAACATGGTCATGTCTCATCCACATGCTGTTAATGAGATTGCACTAAGCTTAAACAACAAGAATCCCAGGTGAGCTTCCTTTGTACTGTAAGTCTAAATCTAACTAGAGCTAGTCAACACTTAACAAAAGTTAAAAATTTGAAACTCTCAGGTGTGGTTTGCTGAAATAAGACTGACTGTAAAGTACTTGGCTGTGTGGATTTTTTTCCTTTCAGCCAAGTTACATCTTTACATGGGGCAGAGTTGAGCACCTGGTGACAGCTTTAGCCATTCACTTTGCTCCTTAAGCTTTTATTCCTTTCTAGGTCTGGTATTAAGCATCTTTGCTGCTAAATTGGTGGAGAGAATTAAGTTGTAAGTGTGTCCAGACATGGGGACTAGGAAAGTCTTAAAATACTAATAGCTAATTAAAACCACCGTTTCTTATCCACATTTTGCTTCCTAACTTTACATATGTACCTTTAGTTAACAAATAGAAAAACAAATGAACAAATATGCAGATTTCTTTAATATTTGTTTTCTTTAAAGACCAGACACATAGATTAATTGCCTTACAGATTACCTATAGAAGTCTCTCATCAACAGTTTCTCTTTTGGTTATCTTGAGCTTTTCCAACCTGGTGAGGTATTCTGTTTCAAATGTATAGTTGCCTTCCCTGAGATACAATATGTAAACTGAGTATCTAGAAACTGTTAATTCACCTTAAAAATATGATTGTAAATTAGGCCTTTCTAGGAATGTAATGCAGTGTGTAAAGAATACTTAAATATTGAGTAGTATTTCTTAAAACTTCCCCTGAATAAATCTACAACTTAGTGATTTCTTACTTTCTTTATTAAAATCCTAACTAGTCATGTGTCTGCCTTCCACTATAGAAAAGTTATTATTCATTTTTATTAAGACAGTTGATATTGTGGGATATCAGAACAGTCTTTGTTAAGAGGTTGGCAATAGTTTTTATTCTAGAACAAAGATGAAATACTAAAGTGATCTTATGGTGAAGAAACAATGCCATTTCTTTTTCGACACTGTATTTACAAACTTAGAATGATCTCTAGATTCTCCTTTCAAAAATATTTCAGATGGAGTTTTATTTTCTTGAGTCAGAGAAAATATTTTTGCACTAGTACAGCTGTAATGCAACTCCTCCCAGATCTCCTGCATATGAAGAAGTGATAGAAACTTGTGTGGTCATATGGGATTTTAATGGATCTATCTGCATGTGAGCAGATTTGAAGTGTAAAACATAAATTTGAGTTGATTTTTGAGCTTTCTCATGTTATGCCTCTGACTCTAAAACCAGGAAGAATATTCAGTTGGTACTTTTGTGTGTGTGTATTCTCATGTTTCCTATTGTTTTTAGCTCATCAGTAAAATTTTTTTAGCTCTGTTGCTCTGAGTCACCCAATAATTTGACTGAAAGAATTAGTTTTTATTAGTGAAATTCATAAATTTTGGGTGTAGGAAGCTTGCCTTCCACATTTGCTGTTTTAGACAAAGCACATATCGAAAAGTCGGTAAAGTTTTCAAAAAATGATTTAATATAACTATGGAACAGAATAAAGGTTTAAAAAGCACAAGGGAAAATGATGATTATTCTCATATTCATCTTGGAGGCAGGAGTAGCTGACTATGTCATTTTCACCGATCTGTGTTTTTCTTTTTTCTTCTTGTTTTGACAGAACAAAAGCCCTTGTCTTAGAACTGTTGGCAGCCGTTTGTCTTGTCAGAGGAGGGCACGAAATCATTTTATCAGCTTTTGATAACTTCAAGGAGGTAGGATGCACTACAGTTTAATAAGCCTGCTCACTCAAAGAGCTCATATTGGGATATCCTCAAGCAGAATGACTTTACTTCTTCATTCGTTCTAGGATCCTAAGAGTGTAATCGCTGATTTTCTAATATATCACCGAGAGGAAAGGCGTGAAGCTAGCCTATATATGTTAAATTTGGGTGTTTTGTTTCTACCATAACTTAATGATATTTGCAGTACAATATTTTCATTTGAGGAATATGAAATGGCCAGTTTGAAAACAGATTTTGTTACATGCATATGGTTTTCCTTAGGGTTGAAAATATGTAGATAATATCCTATAAATTTTATGAACTTTTTCATCAGAGTTGCTTCTCCCAAATAGTATTTTATTATAATTGCTTTGTTGGATGCTATGAAAAACCTGTCAAATAAATATAGACACTTAGTTCAGGAGTTTGTGATTTTACTAATTAAGTGGTCCTGTCACAAAATTATAAAGTAGTGGACATGCATGGTTGAATGTGAAGACTGAGTTCAAAAAAAAGAAACCATTACACATTGATAATATGACACCAAGAATTCTGTCCCAAAGTATCAAGACATCTCAGCTGCGATAATACCAGTCTCCCTTAGGGGTAGTGGACAGTTACATGACCTAGAAGAATATGTAGGCGTATTCCTCAGTATATGCCTACATTCAATGCAACTTTGAGGAAAAAGATGTCAAGAATGACTTTACTTCTGGAGAATATTGACGGCACTTGGAGCCCCAGGTTACAGGAGGACCCTCAGATTTGTGACTTACCCTGGCAGTCCCATTTAATTCCAGATGTTGCTGGATTAAGACTTAAGATGTGTTATAGTCCAGATCTCACAGCGACTTCCACACTTTCTGTTGTCTTTGCTGCAAGCCTCTGGAGGAGGAGAGCATGAATAGTGTTTGTTGAGCACTGACTCTATTCCAGGGCTGCACCAGCTCCACACAGGAAATTATCTGGTTCTATATTAGCATCTTTGGAACAACTGTTAATATTTACTTTATATAAAAGAATAAACTAAAATTCAAATCGAGGGTTTCCTATGGTTACAAAAAGCCAGGCTTAGGGTTTGGTGTTCCTGATCCTAGAGACTTCCATGAAACCATGCTGAAGTGTGGGCCCAGTTGTGTGTGAACTTCTCAGAGAAATAAGGGAAATACTGAGTTAGCACCAGAGAGCCAACCTCCCTACCTTCACCTCCCTAATTGGACTCACCACCCCAGCTGCCATATGTACTGGAGAGTGGTTCTATGATGCTCCACATGGGGTGGGGAGCTTCCAACATGTGGGCTGGACAAACACTCCTCTTGTCTCTTATTTATGTCACCTTTCTTCTTCCAGTTGGTGCTTAGATTTTGACTTTATCCACTTTGTTACTGCTGACTATGGAGAGAATCAAAGAGTTGATTTGTTTTCTTTCAATTTATTTGGCCCTAGTGATAGTGAAAAAATATTCAGGTTCTAAGACAATGATAAAGAATAAGAGTGAATCTTTAAATTCATATTCTGCTTTCAAAAAAAGTGATTTTTATAAACAAGAAAAGCCTTTCTCTGAGTGTTTTAATAATACATCATATGTAAATATATAAATTTTACATTTATAAATAAGGAGGTATGTTTGTATGTTTGGGTGGATGGTTTTTCAAGGAAAAATAAATAGCATATCCTGCTAGTATAACTTATAAAAATTTATGATTAGATCATATTTGGAAATATCACATTCTACACTGAAAGCATTTACAATGCAGATATCAGTGACCCTTGTTATAACTAGTGTTTTGACTGTCATCTGATTATACTGCTGGTCAAATTATATCCTAAAGATTTAATTGTATAGAATCAGAATTAAAGCTAATAACTCATGAGATTAATGTTGGTTTTTGCTTTCTTTTTGCTGAAATAGAATCTCTTTGTTTTGCATAGCAGGCATACAAACTTTTGCACAATTGAGTTTTAACTGTCTGGTGTCAGAATTGCCCATGGTTTAGCCATTTAGGGCATCATATGTACTTAGTTGAAGAAAAACGTAGTCCCGCTAAATCAATAGCTGTCTAGTTGTCATCCAAATTAGCTTTAAGTTTGAGCTTTTAGAGTTTTAATCAAAACCTGCTTCATTTCTGTAATTACTTAAGAGGGAAGGTGCTATTTACATTCTTTTTGTCCTTGGCATCGGCATTTGCCATGTGGAAGAAAGGTCAAGGCCAGAGCTATGTGCTCTGGTCCTGCATTTATCTCTAGCTGTAGCCTTTTGTAGACAGCCCAAACCCAAGGATTATCCTGATTGCCATGTGAACAGGGACAAGGCAGCAACATGCCCCTGGGAAACTTTGTTCTTAGGTTGATGCTCCTTTGACCTATTCCTATTTATCCTATCTTGGAGTGGAAAAAGCGTTACTTTGCTATGATCTTGTTTTTAAAAAATGTAATGGCATTCACAGCTCAGTTTTTTACCTCCCTCTCTTTTTTTCCTTCCCTATTTATGTGAGTTGATTTTTTAAAAAAATATATAAATCACAGTGAAGGGTGTGTTCTTTAATGCTTTCAGCAAAAATGTCACTGGAATCTTTGGGCTCCAAGGAGCCTCGCAGCCTATCCTTGTATATATTCTTGAATACAAGGATATGCTATTGTGCAGATAGGGTTTTGGTCAGTGAGTAAGACTGACAGATAGGGTTTTTGTCAGTGAGAAGCCACCTGTGGCAGGGAGTACCAGATCAGGGAGAGGATACTGGACATAGGACCAAAGGACCATTGGCCTTTATGAAGATTGTTTTTAAAGCTTTTAACTCTTTCTAGGAGAAGGAAGAAGAGGTTATCCCTGTTTCTGCAGGGAGTAGATCAGGGGATTTCAGCATCTGCTTTTTGTAGTTAGACCCTCTGGGTTTTGACTACTGTTAGAACTCAGTCGAGCACACCACCTTCATGTAGAACTAGATATAGAGAGAAGTTTAGAGACCACTCATTTTAAGTACTTAGCAGGAATTTTATTCCCTCCCCCTCCAGAGCCAACAAATCCATCAGGTATATTTTGGCTCTTAATACATTTTTATATATGATTACATTGTTTTCTCATGTTTTGGTTAATATTGAAGATCCCAGCAAATTTGTTTTCTATTTTGTTTTCCCCCAAAGAATCTTGTTATGAGTCGTGCAATATGTGAAGTACATGTTTCAGGAAAAGTGATGGCCCCCTTATTTAATGGTATCTGGTAGTGGAAAGAATGTTAGCCCAAGGCCTTGCTTATGGTAAGCTGGGGAGCAAGCACATATGCTGCTTCCAAGTATGTGATGATAAATGAGTTTTAGTTGCATAAATTCAGTCAGTAAACTTATAGTTTGTGTGAGTTGTGGCATGCATCAGAACATCAGTATATTGAGTTGATGAAGTCTAGATCATTAACAGTCAACGTTGTGTTCCTTGAATTCTTTTCTTGTAAGAAAATTTAAATAAGGGGAATTAACACATCTGGTTTTGGTGTCGAAACATCTTCTTATGAAAATTTATGGTCCTGAAAGGAGGACCAGGGTGAGAACAAGAAACCATCTGTTTTTCTGTATTGGATAATTTAGCCATGTGGAAGGACGTACAACCATCTTCCCTAAGTGGTTTCTTTCTCTTCTTTCTTTTTTGCATGGTGTGTGTGTGTGTGTGTGTGTGTGTGTGTCTGTCTGTCTGTGTCTGTCTGTCCGTCTGTCTAAAATGCAGAAGAGTGAGTGAAAGAGAGGGAGAGAGAGGGAATGGAGTCTACTCACTCTACTTCACTCAGGTATCTAGTTTTGAGTCTGATGCCTCCCATATTCAGCGAGGGGTTGCTTTTGGAAATACGTGTGGTTATTTTGGTATTTGAATTGGTTCAGGGTCCTGTTTGCCAGGAGCAGAAACATACTCTAACGGATAGGAAAAGGTAGATTAGAAGGATGTTGAGGAATGCACAGGAGACTAGGAGCCTAGAGAACGAGGATGGGAGAGTGGATGGGCGTTCCTAAACTGTGTTGAGACTGAGCCCCCATAAACATTGTTGACGGTTCTGATCATGCCTTTTCTTCTCTCCCCAGCAACAGGGACCACAGGTAGCAATCCATTGAGTCATTAAACTGCACCTTTTGGTGAAAGAAGTCAACCAGCACCCACTTCAGATTTATAAACACTATATTTAATCCAGTTTCTCATAGGAATGTTGAAGTCTTCGATCTAGATCATCTTCTCCTCAAATTTTTCGTATCTTGTTTCTTGATTATTTTTTTCCCTTACATTCTTTGATATATTTGAGAAATTGCCTTACTTTAAAAAGTATCCCCAAAAGTCTGGGCAAAAATGTTTATATTTGAAATCAAAGAGGAAAAGTACTGAGGCCCCATAGACTGCAGTGGAATAGCCTTCTGTGACATGAATGACAAAACCCTCTGAGGATTTGGAGCCACTAGCTCTCCCAGGCTGCTGGGAGGTACACCTGGAATTCATCAGGATTTCAGACTAATGATAACTGTGTTCTCATCTGCTTCCAGAATGCAGCATCTGGCTTGAGCAAAATAGCTTGAGTTTGTATTTTAAAGGCCCCACTGCCTCCCACTTCTGACCTTCTAGTATAGATACTTGGAGTCTTGTGAAATGAGTCTCTCAAGGCCACCACCTCTCTTGTACACAACCCTCTTGGCAGTAGCTGCTCTTTTTTTTTTTCACTTGGTGCTAGAAGGCTTCCTAAGAAACCCAATGTGGTTTAGCTCCTGGGTATCTGAAAACACTCATGCTACACATTATTTAGTTGACTTAAGAAGGTCTGTCAAGTTTTATTTACAGTGCTCCAAACTGGACAGGAAGAAGAGCAGACATTCTGGTATTCTTCCAGCACCCTTTTGAATTTAATCCCATCTAATCTAACCTCTTGGACATATGAGGACATAGGACTATGAATCCCAAAGTCATTGAAAAAAATCTAAAAGTGGTGAAATCTTAGATGTGGAAGGAAGAGTACTTACTGTTT